TCTGATTTCCAAGTTTTGCAGGAAACCTGGGGATTGTTTCCGAACTTAAATTGGGGTTGGCGGGATGGATTAAGAGATGCTTGATAAACGTCAGGTAAAACATCGCGGTGCACAATGACCTTTGTCATATTCGCTCGCATTACTTTGCCTATTTTTTTCAATGAGAAAACTCTACAAGAATATCAACTTCAAATGTCTCTTTACGCTAATCGCAAAGTAAAATGAAGAAATGGAAATTTCTACTCCGTAGAAATGATAGTGTTATCGTATTTTCTCCATTAGGCACGAGAGAACAGAAGCTCGAGTTATCGAATTATGGTTGCAATAATTAAAACGGGTCAAGTCGCCATTTGCGTGTGATTAATGGCTTATCTCAAGTGCTCGGAAAGCTGTTATTGTAGGCATAAACGCTAATGCGCGGGTGTACTTGAGTGAAGCGTATTAATGGAGCAATCCTAGTTTCTGCGCCAATTACTTATACGTTAAGCCGGGCCCGCCTTACTTCCATTGCCAACTTTCAAATACGCGTTTGGCCCGTCCGATATTCACGAGACAGTTCAGAAAAGCAAGACTGTCGACTGTTACGTCGACAGTTACTGATATACATTTGGTTCTTAATTGCTCTCTAATGGACTTGCTATTTATCAGACGCGGTGTTTAATTACCGAAAAATCAATTCTAATGAGTTAAGTGATACCGAAAAGAGATTGAAGTGAGGATTAAAATAAATTATACGAAGATAAGATAACTTTGCAATGAAAATCGATAAAAATTAAAACAAAAAGGACTGCTATGGAAGACGAGGTTGTCGTTTTACATCTCATTAACTTCGACTTTCACTCATGTTAGCTTCTAGTTTATTTTATCTCTATTTGATGATGTGTCGCGTTTCGCTCTAATATTTCGCACTGTGACACTTCGCTCCATCGGTTAGGCAATGGTAATGAATGGTAATGAACAGCTGCCGATATTGCCGGATATCGATGGCGATCGAACGCGCTCGGAGCGCGAAAAATTTGCGTACTCGAGAACGCCGGGCCAACGGTGAAAACAATTCGTCTCAATAATGCCACTCGGGGAATATCGATGTTATTTTATTGAAAGGGTAGCTGGGCGCGAATAATACCGTCATAAATCATGGCGCCTCCGCGTAGACAAATGTTTCGCTGTACCGACGCGAACGACAGTCGGAAGCGCGCGCATTTGCGCCCCGTATTTTATTTCCTTCTCCAAAAACCGCTAAAGCATATGAAGACAATAAAATCGAATAAAACTAAGCACGTGACGGTGCACACGCATACATACACACATGTGAGACCAATATGTGTGTGTGTCCTTTTTAAATATATTATTTAGAGTAAACGTTCACAACGGTAATTAATGAAAACTGAACAGCGCAAAGCACTACGAAGATTAAATCCGAGAGCAAAATACGCGAAAAGAGTTAGTCATCAAGGCAATAATAAAAAAAATACAAATTTCCGGCTGCACATTGTATTCAGTTAGCACGTTTGCCTCGTTGAACGCATACATGCGCATTTTATGACTCAAATATACAATCGAAACGAAAAACATTTCTGCGACGTTACATTTTCCAGTCTCACCTGGTGTAAAAAATGTTTGCGTACAATGCACCGTGCTGCGATTAGCTCATTTGCTTCGAATTAATGTATTCATAAATAACATGATATTACCGTGGCGTTTCACGCATGCGTTCCTTCGTCATTTACGTTAAATTGATCTTCAGATTGATTTATCGTTCGGAGATTTCGTGACAACCCTTTCCGCACCTAAGAGGAGAAGGAGGAGAAGGAGGCTATTACTCACGGGTGCATCGGCACATCTGCCGCGAACATCGTGTAATTCGTCGGGAACGAGGTTGACTCTGGAAGNGAGGGAGGGAGGGAGAGAGAGAGAGAGGGAGGGAGAAAGAGGCTTAATGACGAGGCGACGATCGACAACGTATCCTTGACGTCTCGCGACGTCGGTCGCACACCCGCGCTCGAAATGATAATAATTAATGTCCTTCGCACCCCAGCCGACTCTCGCCCGCCTCTACCCGCCGCCAACCGAAACTTTTCCGTCGCGTAATCGTGGCCGAGCACGTGCGCGCATTCCCGCCACGTACGTGAAATACACGACGTGTCGCGCAAGTGTTCGCCGAAAGTTTCCGCCGAAACTGAATTTCCCGCGTGATCGTGAGTAACAGTACACCGCGTGTCGTTGTCGTACCTGACGAGATAATATTCTTCGCCGAGGGCGCGAGCTGCTTAACGACCGACGCGATTAACCGCGGGAGACCAGTGAGAGACGTTTCGTGTCGCATAAGACAGAACAGGCACTGCAGCAACGCAGAGCCATTAATTATTAGTTAATACACAGCAAGAAATCCTATCGGAATTTGAAATGATATTAATCATCGTAACTTCTAAACGTTGATGAGATATGATGGTAAGCCAATTCCAATCACACGTCATAATTATAAGCCCATTTCCACTGAACTAAATCTTTTGTCCCTTAAGGATAGGAGGAGAAACTAACTGACCTATCGTTTTTATTTTAAATTCTAAGGGGATCAATTGACTGTTCGAAAATTGTAGCCCGGTTTATATTCATCTCTACTACACCTCTTATATACTTTCCCCCGTTCTATATCGAACAACAAAGTACACCTTATGGATGGTATGAACCTTTAAATCGGACATCTCTCTTCTCTTGCTAATAATGATAAAATTGACTTTTGTCATATATCATTGTCCTCCTTTAAAAGCACCGTTAATGATTACCCGAACCTAAGTATACCTTAAGAAGTTATGATATAATATATAATGTATCATAATATATCTTCTTATGCTAATATTTTATCTAATATTTCGTAATATTTTACTTTTTCCTTTTTTTCATTTTTTTTTCATTATTATCTTATTTGTCGAGCGTATTGTACCAAAGGGATACTCCCCTTACATAAATAAATAAATAAGTAAATAAATAATAACTTAATTTGGCTTCCGAATTAGCACTTCACGAATGAGTCCTTCATTTCATTCATCGATCATTAAGCCAAGATACATTATAATCCGTGAACAACCTATCTCGCGATTTCAGTGTTCTCTGAACACCATGCGATATCGACAAAGTGTACGCCAATGCGTTTTCGCGAGAGCATCGAATAGGAAAGAAGAGGGTAGAATATCGTTCGTCGCGACACGAACGCGATTTCCAACGCGTCGCGAAGACGAGCGGATCCGACGGGCGTAGTAATCCCGTATTAATAAAAGTGAAGGAATTCCGTCCGCGCGAGGACACGAGCGAGTCGTTACCGCGAGAGTGCATATCCGCTTTCAGGCAGTCCCGGCACGTTTTTAAAGCGTCTCCGGTGTCAGAGAGTTCTCGCAAGAAACTCCGAGAGAAGGCGAGACGCGAGCGCCCCTCGACGTCCACTCCCCGGAGAGGATTTTCGCGAATTCGTTTCGGCTGGATTTCCCACTCTCGAGCCGGGATACGCTTCGGGAGAGGGCGTAGCGTCTTCAGCCGAAATGTCTCTTCGTGGAACAATATTTTCGTTCCGTTTCCGCGCGGCGGCCTTCTTCGTAGTCGTCGTAGTCGTCGTAGTCGTCATCGTAGTAGTCGTCTCGTAGTGCGTTAGAAGGGATGGATATACATCGAGCCGGTGGATCGAATTTTTCGTTCGTCGCATGTTTGTCGATCGACGACCTTTATTCATCGGACCGTATAGTATCGGGAAATTCGTATCGGTGCTTTTCGCGCGGTTAGACAAGGATACCAGGTTCTGCGAGAGATCGGGAACGATTCGTCCCGAATCTTACTCGGGGATTTCCCGCGACACGTACGCGCCTCGTTCGCGGAGGAGAGAGAGGAATATATTCGCGCGGAGAGAAACATCGTCGGGCGTCCGCGAATTATGTGGAAATATTGTTTCGCCGTTCCCTCCTCTCGGGGAAGCCGCGAGATAGGAATAGATTGATCCGCGCGAGAGGGTCGCGCTGTGTTTTCGTAAGATCCGTCAGAACTACACGTAGCTACGCGACGTTTCCCGCGCGTCTATCAAAACTTCGATAATACTGAGGTCGGAGAAAGAGGTGGCAGCTGTTCGCGGGACCGGCAAAGAGGGTGCAGAGGGAAAAGCTGCGGAGGGATCGAGAGACCAAGGGGGTTGGTGATCGATTGCGCCGGTACATGCACAATAACAGGGGGATGGAGTCATGTATCCGGGCTAAACAGCCCATTTGCTCGGCACAATGGAAGCGACGTCGCTGTGGGTCCGACTTAATTACCAGAGGCTGCCTTTGGCAGGCGAAGAGGTAGCGAGAGAGAGAGAGAGAGAGAGAGAGAGAAAACGGGTAGCAAGGCTTTATCAGAAGCGCCTTATACAGCCGAGCTTCGTTTAATGGCCGTGCAAGAATGCGAATTTGGCGACATGCCTGGGAATCTAATCTAAGAAGTTATCCCGGCTGCGTCTTAACCCTCGCGTTAGGTATACTCGAGCGATTATGAATCGCGTTAGCTGTTATTACGGTGACGCTCGTTGATTTTCCATCGCGCCTAGGCGTCTTAACGCGTTTAGACCCGAGGTGCGACGTCAGGCGCGAGATCGCGATTGTAAAGTTCGACGGCGTTTCGGCGTCTCGGCGAACGCGGCAACTGCCTCCTCGCTGGCACCGTGAAAAGCCGGAGTCGCGCGAGGTGCGTCTTAAGAATCGCGGATTCGACGGGTGGGAAAAATACGTCCTTGATAAGAAACTCGCCCCGGCGGAGTTCGGCGCGGATTGTATAAACCACTTTCGTCCTTGTCTCCTGCATAACGCGCATGATGCATCGCGACCGGGGCCGAGGTATTTTCCGAGGGGAAACAAAACAGTTTCCCGATAGTTTCCGCAGCGTGAAAACGAAGGGAGCACTTTGCCATTAGTCTGCACGCGAAACTGTTGGTATGTATCATTCTGTAACGAGGGCAAATTGCGAATCCACGCTGTACTTACCGAAGTTTTCATAAAGTTCGCCGGGCAGGAGAGGCCACTGCATTAGACGAAAGATACCTGAAACACAAAACGTAAAGAACGCCTTTAACTCGCGCGGAAACTACGTTACCGAAGAAACTTGGGAGCTACGCGGAGTCTCAAATCTCGGCAATTAGCCGGACTATCGCGGCGCTCATCTTCTCCGCGAGATAAATCATGCGATAATTACAATCCCCTTGCTGAATATCTGCCTGCGTTTCACACGTATCAGTGAGAAACAATACGATCGGTGATTATCGCGGGATACTACAAGGCAAGAGGTCACGCTGAATATTAATTCTGTTTTTCGCTCCTCGTCCTCAAAATAGACAAGACAAAGCAGCCGTGCTTGTATTTATGAGAAAATGGATTATTCTCGGAGATATTTCGAAAAATATATAAGATAGGAATATTTTAGATAATATTTTAGAAGGCTGATCCCAATTACGTGACTGTTGGAAATTTTATCGATTCAACGGCATTTTTTGCCGTGAAGCGGTAACATCTATTATTAAAATCCAGCGAGACTCTGTCCGCGCTTAATGACTACGATATTCCACGCGAGGCATTCGATCCCTCTCTATTTCATTATCGTGCCAAACGAAGATCCTCGCCGGCGAAAGGTCTACGAAGATTTCCCTTGATGTCGGTTATCCCGAAGTCGAAGGGACAAAACGAGGTAAACTCCAGGGTGCTCGATGCTGCGAGTTCACGAAAGAGGAAGGGAGATGGAGAGAGAGAAGGCCGGCCGTATTTTATTTCAGCCCTCTGTCTCGCCACACACGGGTCCGGAAGCACATCCACGGACGAGAGGAGGAAGGAAAGAGGAAGATAGGAAGAGAGAGGTCGAGAATGAACACACACACACACACACACGAGCGGGTTGTCTCTGGAAACGCATCCCAAACGGGTTGTCTGAGTGGTTTCTCGTGTTCGGCATAGCGCACACACGACGACCACCGTCACCGCCATCGGCGGTATACACTCGTGTGGCACTGTCGTGTCTCGTGTGACGTTCGCGCACGGTACACCCGGTAGAAGTAGCGAACCGGGCGGAAGAGAGTCCTCGAGACTCGTCCTCGCGCAGGACGAGAACTTGCCACGTGGAGTGCGCACTGCGTCGCGGTCGAGTGTTTTCGCGGCGGAAAGCGGTTGCAAATGTTCGTTTGGCCGTTCGACCGCGGCTTTGAGCAGCCCGCGCCGTACTTCCGCAGGTTTGTCAGGAGCGCGTTGCTCTCACCGCTGTCTGCGGAAACGAGCGCCTACTCTCGCCGAGAGAAAACCTGGACGGAATACTCTACGGCGTTAACTTTCACAGCGATGGCGTGCGTACAGCGTCGAATACGCGTCACTCGACGAATATTTGTCGAATCGTCGAATCGTAACTCGTGTGCCCATAATTCACCTGATTACTGCGAATTCAATAGATAAGAGAGAAAACGATACTAATAGGTTCTAAATTACACGTTAAATTAAATTCTCCTTATCATTGACGTTACTTTGACGTTGAAAATTTACGACATTCATGATTCGACGGGATAAAATTTAATATCGCGTCATGCAAAAAGCATAAATTTCCATTGAAATTAATTTCATATAATCGCGAATGATTCAACAATCCCTCCGAAATTATGTTGGATGAAATGGATGTAAGGAATTTAGTCGAGAAGGAAGGATCTCGCATCAGCGATGAGTAAGTCACCCTTCTTTCGCGCTACAATCGATAAGGCATTCCGGTCACAATCGCGCGTCCAATAATCGAATTTAACGGCAAACTCTCTAGCGAATTATGCGAGAAACTCAATTTAATGCGGCGCCGCACTGCCGCCGATGCGATCGCGACGCAATGCATCCACTTCCTCAGTTTCAGACTTCTCCCGCATCTCCACTGCCTTCTCTCCTTCTTATTCTTTTCCCGCCCATCCCTCTCACCCTGTGCACTTCGCCGAACTGATCAAACGCGTTTTCGACCATCGAGAGGCAAGAAATAGTCAAAGTGCGCGAACGGCGCGAACGCGCGTCGCAAGGAGGTACGAGGGAATGAGTAAAAGGGTGCCGGAGGGATCGCTGAGGCAAGGGGGGAAGGTCCTCCGAGTCGCAGTGCATCTTTCTCTGATTTCCCGAGGGACGCCTCGATGCCACCCTTATCCACCGTGAAGCCGGGATATCGCGGTGGTGGATGAGAGCCGAGTAGGTGGATACAGCCGCAACGCGCGTGTCCTCGCGAAGCATGATTTATTTTATCGCTCTTCGAGAGGCCGGCATAATTCCGGGCCGTTCCACCCGCAGTTATTTTACCCCCCGCGCGTTGGCGGGCGCCGGGCCCGACGGGGGTGTAGACTCGCTCTCCGACACGAGGGATCAACAGGTACAGGACTCCACCGAAGCCACCCGGCCGCCGCCGCCACCTCCGCCAGGATCGGAACCATGAGCTCTCCTGACTCTCTCTCTCTCTCTTTCTCTTTGCTCGCGTGTCGAAAAGTTGTAAAGATACTCCGCTGTGGTCCGTGTAATTTACGTCGAGCTTCTCGGCAGCGAGTCTTTATTTATCACAGGATTATTAAATTCTTTCCGGCACTTATTAAACGCGGCGAAGGGAAAATTCACTTCTCCCTTGTTTCTTGTAAGACTTGCAATAGAAAAATCCTTCGCACGTATATTATTTCGTTGATTGAACATTCACCGATGGTACATATGACGTATCCCGTGTAGATCACGCTTTTTCTGCCGTGAGCTCGTTTTACGTCAGTGTTCACTAATCAACAGTCGCTATTGTACGGTCCATATACGCGGCCAGAAATGCGGCAACCGTGGTGATATTCTCACGACAACATTTCAAGCAGGACCCGCTTGAAAGGACGTGGGAAGTACGTCAAGCCTGGCGGGTAATACACTCCTCTGTCCGATGTCTCTTCTGGATACGCGTCGGCCGAAGGGAAGAAAGAGAGAGAGAGAGAGAGAGAACGCGCGCTAGGTCGAGATGAGAACGGAAAGCGGAGGAGAAGGACAAGCGGGTGTTCCTCGTACCAGGAAACTTCGCGGAGTGGCGCAATAACGTTTCTTATGCTACGTTTCCGGACTGGCGTGCCGTCGCCGGGTTGCTCGCAAATACTGGGACCCGAGATGGGGAGGGATGAAATGCTAGTGGAGGACAAGAGGATGAAGGAGGGTGAGAGGAGCAGGTGAGGTGGAAGAGGAGGGGATGGAAGATGCAGTCGCTTCTGGCATGCAATTAGGGGGTAACACCATCCTCGCGAGCATTCCTCGTCCTCCTCTCTCTTGGTGCACCTCATCTCCTCCATCCGTTCGTCTTCTCCGTGGCATTTTATGCATCGTCCTTTCTTCGCTCCCCTGCACAGCTGCCTACTTTTCTCGCTTTCGATCGTCCGCCGCACGTACGTATATACCGCACAAACACGCAAACATGCGCGCACGCGTTTTCCATTATAATCCTCGTTAGCAGCTCTCGACGCACGCTCCCGAATAATGACATGGCTGAAGAAGATATCGCCGAGCGCGCGAGCGGAGGCGTTGAGAGTCCGACACGCGGATTTTATTTTCCTTTGCAAGGAAACGGAGGAGTGACGCGATTTCAAGGACGATTAAGGGGGTAAAAGCTGCGGGGAAGGAATTATGTCGACCGATTGAATTAGCGTTAGAGGAGAAAATGTGCCACCTTGATCGAAGCTGCTGGAAGCGCACGAATAACCGGATTTTTCTCCTCGTTTCAAAATATATCATATCTTTTCCGGTTCTTTTATAATTAAGGATTAAAATATTTTAATATTTCGTAGTTATGTGAGTAATTATAAAGTGCGAAGGGTAGTAATAATTATGAAGTAAGAATCATAAAAGTTCGTGAGAGAGAGAAACAGTCGGTTCGTATATTCATATTTGCCACCGAATAGTATTAGTCGCACCGAAAAAAAAAGCATTGTCCTTTTGCCGGTTTGTTAATTAACTCGTGATCGTTGTGCTTTTATATTTGTTTTACTGTATACATTTTAATATATTTACAAGCGACAGAGATAAAAAGTAAAACAAATGGAATATTTAGTTTTATATCAAATAACTTTTTTTTTCACGTTTAACTATCGCTCATCACAATATTTGTCTCTACTCGCGTCGCATAATTACGTAGTAAGAGTGCAGATAATAAATTAAACGCCGGTCATTTTCACTTATGTATCTCTCCTCGTAATCCAGTCTACTAATTCTCGCATCATAATGATCATCGTTAATGAAGCTTGAGTGCTCATTTCGTGCGCTATCGAACGCGATACGTTTCGACACGATGCGGATAATAATGAAGCGCGGACAACGCATACTTCAAATTGCTACTTAAACGATCGGTAATACGCAGACATCGCTAAACATTTTTATCGCACTATCCGGCCACCGTAAAATCGCGATACAATCGACCATGGTTTTAACCATTTTATCCGCGCGCGTGCGTCCGCATCCAACGGGTATTTCGAGAATTATGCGTCTAGATAAATCACCATTATACCTACAAAATGTTATCAACGTACAGCGTGCAATTTACGAGGCCGCTAGGCGACAAATTCCCGCGAGGGAAACTGGTATAAACACGCCACTGAAAAAAAAAAAAAACTCCGAAAAAACACCCAGGCTCGATACCCCTCGAACTATGACGTATTCCCCAAGTATCGAGAAACAGTGTGTAAAGCCTGGCGCCGACATCGCGACACGCGTAAATATCAATTATCGGTCGTATAAACTTACATTTCCGCATATGGCGTAATTTACGCGGAGGGAGGCAAATAGGATTAATACGAACGAGTAAAAAGTAGGAATAAAAAGGATTTCACGCGACCCCCGAGGCCGTGCTGAAGGCTTTTGGGAAGGGGCGAGAAGCAGATAGTGCCATTCAGTGTCCCGAACGGACGCTTTCGGCGGGGTAAAGCGGGTAAACACTGACGTAAATCCTCTCCTTTTTCATCGCGTTAGTTGCGGCGAATTCCTTTTCTCCTATTTCGCGAATTTCGTTATTTTCGTAATATGTTATTCGCGTTAAT